GCAAGGGAGGAGAGAGGAGAGGAGATGAGTGGTGGTTCCTGGTTGTTCCGCTGACACTGGCTCGTTTTCTGTCTACCTGTCCTAAGAACAACCTCCCGTCATCCACCTACGCTCATCTCATATTTGTTTGCCAAGCTAAAGCTCATCCAATTCACTTGCATGCTTTCCTAATACTAGTAATACTTGTGTTACACACACTGGGATGGGATGCCGCACACACACACACACACACACACACACACACACACACACACACACACACACACCCTTTGTTTATACTAAAGCAGTGTATGTAGTCATTGATGGATGCTTGCTGCTAACGCAGGGCCCAGATTAAACAGAGGGAAGTGCTCTCTCCCTGCTCCTCTCCGCTCCTGCCTCACTCCTGTCCTCCGTCTCACACTCATACGACTGTGTAAATACAAAAGGGCAAGGTTACGCATTATTATAGCGTGTGCTTCAGAATACTAACAGAGTTTTCCTTCCTCTCCGGCTGCTAGTCTGTTGCTACCTGAGACAGACGACAGAAAGTGAACTTCTCCATTGCTCTAACCCTCTGATCCAATCAAACGCTATCTGACTGCGCATCCACTCATCCACACACTCATGGTTTGCCGACCGTGCAGAGTGCAGAGATACAGTTCTGACGTAGTTCTAATGAAGATCTCTCACTCTCACTCTCTCACTCTCTCACTCTCTCACTCTCTCACTCACTCACTCACTCACTCCTACAGGGAACCCAAAGCCTGTGTGATCAGAATGGCTCCGTAGCATTGAAGGTGAGGTGCTGGCTATAGCCTAAGGAAGAAGCCCAGATGGTTGTGAAGGCATTCCTCCTGCAGGCGTTCCGACCATGCCGTGCCGCGGCAGCAGACAGCTGTGGGCGACCTCTGTTGTTTAGTGACTCGTCTTCATAATTAAGGCTCATCGCAATGAAGCAGCGATCCCATCGTCCCGGCCGTCTGCCTGAATTCAGGGCATCAGACTACAGAGCTGGAGAGGGAGGGCGACTGGTAGAGAGGGATAGTAGGTGAGAAAGAGGGTGCTGTCTGGAGTTGGAGCAAGGGCGTCTGGGCTGAAGACGGGTGGCTGTGTGTGTGTGTTTGAAGCTGAAGAGAGGGTGAGAGAGTGAGTCAGATAGGGAAAGCGAGAAGGTTTGTATCTGTGATAGAGAGAGAGTATGTGTCTGGAGTGTCGCAGAGAATGAAGGTATGTCTGTGTGCATCGGAGCAGGCTGACACCATCCACAGAGCACATTGAACTGAGTTGACCCATTGCTCCAGGAGATCCACCAATAAGCAGCTGGTCTGGTGCAGAGATAACAACAGCATCCTAGACTAGAGGACGACTGCCTGCCAGCCAGACACATCGGTCGGCTCCATCTCTACTCCCTAATCATATCCAACATCTGTTTAGAACCTCCCACCTCTTTCCAGCCCAGTCTCTATCTCAGCAGTCTTGGTTTGTTCGTTTTACAGTTCTGTCCTTATCCACCTTGTGAGAGAGAGATCCAATTACCTCTTCATATTGGTTCTTCCTGTCACACACACACTCCGTCCCTCGTATTACTGTAAGAGACAGACACATACTGTCTTGCTTAACTCCATAGTAATTATAGTCATCTCACTATCTTTAGGAGAATCTCAGCTGCTTAAAATGCCTAAGGAGCATGCACCCACCCACGATCAATCCATTGTCTGGAATGGTAGATGGGATAGAAAAAAAGCCGATATTAGACTGACATCTAAAAGACGTCAGAGTTTGAGTGCTGTGACAGGCCTGTGGCTCCCCGTCTGTCAGAGCAAAGCCCCTGTCATCACAGCCAGGGACAAAGGTCATGATGATAACCTCTTCATTAATTAAGCATGTTTTAAGGGAGATTAATTGTACTGATATGGAGCTTTCTCTCTTTTCTCTCTTTCAGGCCCTGTCTGTGTCATTGACAAGGTGGATAAAGGGCTGAGGATGAAAGACAAGGGAGAGAGGAAGAGAGGAGAGAGAGACAGAGAAAGAATGAAAGGAAGAGGGGGGCGTAAGCTCAGAGGAATTGCGTAAAGGCGATAAAGGAGCTTTAGAGAATCAGTCGGATCCTGCAGAAAAAATTAAACGTCTCCTTTTCTACCAGCAGAGAGGAGGTGGCCCGGGTCTTATCCCAGCCGGCTCCGGGCTGCAGGCTGCAGCAGACAGGACAGCCCTGTTTAAAACCATGCATGTCCTGGTACTATTCTGAACCACTGTGAATGACCGCCGGTTGCCTCCCGGTCCAGAAATAGAAGGGTGTTTTATCTCTCTTAATAGTCTCAAATATTTCTATAATTTTCTGTGGGCCCTGTCGCTGTCACTGTCGCCCCCCACACAAACCTCACTGAGACTGGGCTCTGAACCCAGCCACCCCTGCGTCCTCCAACAAATCTTGTTCTCTGTATTTAAAGCCAGATCCATACACTATGACATTAGCCCAGCTCACTTCTCCTCGGGTGGGGCAGAGTGGGAGTTCATCCCGGCATTATGTCCTCATCTGCACTACTTTAGAAAGCTAATTATGGGCCCAGCTCTGTACCCGCCGGCTGCACAGAGAGCCCTGACATCTCTCTGTTTGATGTGCTGGAGAAGGGGGCGACTGCAATTAAGAGTCCGAATTCCCTGCTCCTCTCTTTTTTTTTCTCTCTCTCTATTCCTCCCCCTCTCCTTCTCTCTCTCTGACAGTCTGACATAACAATTTCTCCTCAGCAGGCCAGAGAAGTAGATCTCCAAAATGGAAGACGAACATACCATTAATACTGGGACGCAGACGGAATATGAGAGTGAGGTGATGGGCATGAGAGAATTCTGATGAAGGATCATTGCCTATTAGCTAGCTGGGAAACCAGACTCAGAGAGGCCAGTCATAATCTGGCCAGTTCCAAAGGTAACAGCTATTCTGGGCTGGGTTTCTCGACTCCTTACTAGCTATCTCCTCTAGTAGTTAAGCAGGAACACAGAATGACTTAGAAAGGAAACACATACAGTTGGATGATATTGTTAGAATAAACATTTCCAGTTCAGCTTTGAAAAGGACTGCTGTGGGGGTCTTCCACCACTATGAGGAGCTGTTCCAGCTTTTGGATTGACCTCAGTGGTGTGAGGTTGACTTGGATACAAGCTAACTGTGCGTTTTCTCTGTTTTCTTCTGTGGACCTACTACACCCAGTTAAAAGTGACTGTCTTACAATGATGAGATACAATGCTAGTCATTCAAAATCTGTACCACCACCAGTGTCAAAGAAAGCGTGTAGCTAAATCTGTTCAGAATAACTGTTGTAGGTCATTAAGCAAAATGTCTTACAAAGAGCTAACCAAAAACAGCAAAGTCAAGAAATACACTCAGACACTGCATCTCTTAAAAATAAGGTTAGAATAGAAGACTCAATTGAAAAACATGGATTGCATGTACGTGTATTCCTTGACTCTTTCCAATGATGTTGTCACTATTTACAGTTTGTACTAAACCTCCTCCTCCACGATCATTAATGTAAAAATAGAAGGGAAAAAAACGAAACCTCTTAAGATTTAACAATTGAGCAAAGCCCCATATTCTGGGTCATCGTTGACTTGATAAATGTAGGTTGGGAGGGAAGGAAGAAAACACTAAGGAAAGTAGTGAAAGGAAAGAAGAGTACAAAGGGATTGTTATTGTCTCAGGGAGGCCTAGCAGTCGGCTGTCAGGCCTCAGAGTTGAGTATGATACAGGCTGGCTCTGGGAGCCAGGTTGTGGGGTCAGAAACAGGGCAGGAGAGGGGGTAGAGAGGGTAGAGGAGGGAGACTGGGCAGCGAGGCGAGGTTCGGGCAGTGGACATTTTTGGTTCAGATGTGGGCATGAGCGTTCCCGTGCCCGTGCCCGTGCCCGTGCCCGTGGCCCTGATCCCCTCCGTGGTGGCCCCCCTCTCCGTGTCCATGGCCGTGCTTCTTGTGCTTTCTGCGCTCCCGTCGCCCGTTGTGATGGTCATGGTGCCGCCTGTAGCGGTGAGCTCCCCGGGCTGGAGAGAGAGAGAGAAGGGAGTGAAAGGGGGAGAGAGGGGAGGAGTCAGGGGAAAGAGAAAGGCGAGACCGGATGAGAGGAAGTAGAGGGGGGTGTGACAAGTAGAGTAGAGTGGAGAGTCAAGGATGAGAAGGAGTGAGAGAGGGATATGAGATGTGAGAGGAGGGGGGTGAGAGGTCAACACCACAGACATACAGCACTCAACATCAGCCACTCAGCCCAAAGTGTCTTCTCTACTCTACTTTACATTACTAGCTCTCTACATGTATTAGCATAGGACTGTCCTCCCACTCACGGCCTGAGTAAGCCGCTTCCTTCCTATGTTGTGCTGCCAAATTGGATCCATTGGTCCTGGGTTGGGTTTGCCAACAGAAAGTCTACCTTGCCATGATAATGATGACTAACAAACGACTATAGCAGGAAAACAACATTGCACTCGAAATGCACTGAATACGAAATAAGGCTCCATATTTTCTCTCCAGTTCAAACAGCAGCAATTCATTATTTGTCAGCACGAGCCGAAAGGGGAAATGGGAAATATTTGTTTGCTCATAACTTCTTAAAAAGGGCAAACATTGATACAATCCTACAATATGAATGATTATGCTGTCATAAAGATGGATGTTTCCGTCGTTCTGCAGAGCAAGTTTTACTTCTCATGGGAGGATAGTAAAATGAAATGTTTCTTCTTGGTGTTTCTGGCATTCCTCCAAACCCCTGGCTGTCAATCACACTTTGGAGCGATACACTATCTCAACAGAAAAATAGCTATAACATTGTTTTATCTACATTAAAATTAGATTACAGTCATCACTCAACCTCTATCTGATGAAAAGTTTGTCAAATTAGAGTACATGTTACAACTTCTATGGAGAGTCTTGTATTCCTAATGAATTCGGTCTAATTTTAAGTTTCCATTCCTCTACTGTTTTTGAGCGTTTACCCCATAGAGATAAAACTTAAAACCCTTTAATAGTCTTGGTCACTCACACTTTGTGCAGATGATCTTGGGCCGCTCCCACTTGCCGTTGGCACGACACTTGGCCGTGGGGATGTGGCGTTGGAGGAACCCGTCGGCACACTGGTAACGCACCACTGAGTGGATGTCATAGTGGGACCGCTTACGACCAATCAGAAAGGCGTTCTCCACGGTGGGAGGGTTCCCACACAGCACTGCCAAATGGAGAAAGAGAGCGAGAAATGGAAATCCAGCAATGGATGAGTGGTACATTATAACAATGCGGTCCTAATATGTCTATCACCATTCACAGTCATCAGTCATCACCCAGTCTTTCCCCTTACTGTTTTTGCCCTTGTCCCTGGGCAAGAGACGGTTGTAGAGCCCTGCTTTAAAGAACATTCCCCTCCACTCTTCAAAACTATCAACGGCACACAACACACACATGTAAAGTTCAAGGGAAACCAAAAGAGATGAGTCATGTGTGTGTGTGCGTGTGTACTAGTCTGTTTGCGTGGGCTGTTGTCATCTCCTAGAGCGTTGTGTTGATGTGAGGAGTGGGGACAGACAGACAGGCAAAGAGGTTGAGACACCAGACAGACCCTACAGGGCTCTTAGCCCAGTGAGACATCACACTGACTCACTGACCTTTCAGCTCTGGCTGTTCCCCATAGGCACAGATCTAGGATCAGCTTCCCCTCCACCAAACCTAATCTTCACTATCTGGGAGGAAAATGCCAAACTGACTTTAGATCAGTGTCCAGGGGTAACTTTGCCCTACCCCGACCTTTCAGAGGGGATTGGGCCCTCAGGGGCCACAGTGTGTGACAGGTGTCAGGAATGTACCCACGCTTACTTCTCATTGCCCTGGATTAGAGGGAGGGCGAGTGAGAGACGAGGGATGAAGAGGGGTGACATGCGGTGATGGTGCAGTTCCTCTGTCATTCCCCTAGATGTCAGCCCTACAGTTGAAACCTAAAGCCCTCCTCAGTGAGTTTCTAACCAACAGACAGTCACCAACCCAGCTGTAGACTAAGTGTAAGTGCTTCATTCCCTTCCTTGAAGTAATCGCCGACCTCTCATCTGGAACATGGTTGAACATGGTGGAAATGAGATGTCCCTTACATAGCTAACATTAATTCAGAACTATCTAACTCCAAGGAGTAGAGGAAGGGAGGGAAGGAGGGAAGGAGGGAAGGAAGGATGTATTTTCCAGGTCTCCACACAGGGTCTGTGACTGCAGTATGGGCCCAGTGGGAGGTCTGGCCTTCTAAAAGCAGGAAGTCAGCTTAATGCCAGGCTGTAAAGGCCCCACTGCAGTACAGAGCACTAAGGACTGGGGCTGCAGTACAGGGGTGTGATTAAAAGGCAGGCTGCAAGAACCATATACTGCTCACAGCCATAGCACCTTACATTCTACTTAATTACCTGTAGGCTATTACCTAGCCATGATATTATTAGACACCATAATAATGCCTAGCCATATCAGATTACCCCACTTTTAAAAAATCTTTAAATTGTGTTAACAGGGTTTGTTTAGACTGCCAGTATAGTGATTGCTGCAACATCTCACACCTCATATTCAGCCAACCAGAAAACCACTGTTTTCACACCCTGTGTTTAGTGTGCAGTAACAGAGACTAGGAGGGACATTACTAACACTAGTGTGCAGCTGTGGCAACAGATCAATAGACACAGAACAAGGCATGGCACTCAATAACACAACACAGATCTTACTGACTGGGGCTGGGCTGAGGATGCCTGGCAGGCACGCAGGAGTGTGTGTGTGTGTGTGTGTGTGTGTCAGGCTGATTTAGTGTTCTTTTGAAAGCTGGACAGTTGGAGCCTGGATCCATCCAGCACTCTCCGAGCCCTGTGGGCTACAGCTTTACACTTAGAGAATAACATGTTTCAGCAGATTAGACTGGGGTGAGCTGGGTATGTCCACACACACAACCACGCAAACATATTTTCAACACACACACACACACACACACAAACACACACTCTCTCTCACTCACCAACACCCATGAACGCACGCATGTCCGCACGCACGCACACACACACTCCAATCTCAGCCAATGTATTGACAAGTCACAGTAGGCAGGCAGGCAGGCAGCAGAGTTGGGGTGAACTGTGAGTATGTGATAGCGTGTGTCCTGGGTGGGTGTCAGGGTGTCCTGGGTGGGTGTCAGGGTGTCCTGGGTGGGTGTCAGGGTGAGCTGCTTCTCTGTCCCCAGAGGAGAGTTGCAAGAGAAAAATAGTAATTGGTAGAGGCAGTGGCAGGTGTTCTATGGGATTTATGGCCCAACTGCCCCAAAGGACCAGTGTGCTCTGGCCTGGACTTGGGCTGTGTGTCTGAGAATATTTTGAACTGTATGTGAATAAGTATGTGAATATTTGATAATATTCTGTGTTTGAGTATGTGTGTATGACTGATGCCTTCACCACAACCCATCCTCCTAATCAGGGTGGCTCATGCCTGCCTGTTCTGTGCTCTTCCCCATGGCACTATAGGTAACACTAATAACCCAGATGACGTGTCTCACTGATTGGATACTGTCTCTCTCTCAGAGGACAGGCCTGAGTGTCAGCCACACGCCAGTAATCAGCCAATCACGCCATACGTCCACTGATGAGCAGACCCAAAGAGAACAACAGCACTAAACTTGTAGAAATCAAGACAACATACGGTTTAGTTGGGCTGAAAATGGAATGCTGCCACTGACTGATTGACTGAAGGTCAGCTTCCCAGTTGGAGGCATTCAGTTAGACCTGTGACAGTGTGTCATCAGCTATGGGTTGCACCTCTGATGAGAGAAATAACATACAGTGGAAAGTTGATCTGACTCGAGGGCAGTGGACACCGAACATTAGTGTGGCATGAGGTGCTTATCTAACTCTGTGGCATGGGGGACTTATCTAACTCTGTGGCATGGGGTCTTATCTAACTCTGTGGCATGAGGGACTTATCTAACTGTGGCATGAGGGGCTTATCTACCTCTGTGGCATGAGGGACTTATCTAACTCTGTGGCATGAGGGACTTATCTAACTCTGTGGCATGAGGGACTTATCTAACTCTGTGGCATGAGGGGCTTATCTACCTCTGTGGCATGAGGGACTTATCTAACTCTGTGGCATGAGGGACTTATTTAACTCTGTGGCAAATGGGACTTATCTAACTCTGTGGCATGAGAGACGTATCTAACTCTGTGGCAAATGGGACTTATCTAACTCTGTGGCATGAGAGACTTATCTAACTCTAAGTTTTATAACTCTAACTCTTTGGTGACCCATTCAGATGAACTAAATAATGTTTATAGCCTGAGGCTAGTTTAAATCAGTACCCAAGAGGATCTAGCAGTGACCCGATCCTCCATTTCCTTAAACACAGCTCTGGAGTCTGGCCAGTCGTCTCAACCAACCTACAAACATCTACCTGGCTGGCTATTAATAACATGTCTCTCTGTCTGCCCCAAATGCAAATGAAAGACCATCGGCTATAATAAGCCCACAGAGGAGCATGTTAGGATGCGCACTTCTCTGGCGTCTCACAGCACCATGACTGAGCAGATCCACAGAAGCCTGATCATGTGACACAGAAACTTTACCAGACAGCCCCAAAACTTTGTGTGAAACTTTTCCAACAATGTTTTACACAAAGGAGGATCATTTTTTTGTGGATTAAATGCTCTGAAGAACTCTCAGCCCCTGATCTGACAGTAAGACCATCTCTGTAAGGAGCTGCCTTAGGTGTGAAAGCACAGCTACAAGTGAGCTGACTGCGCTTGGAGGTGAGCTGTAATGATCAAGTCCAGACTGACTGATTGAAGAGGCCTAAGATGTTCTCCCTAACAGACAGAATCCTTTAAAGTATTCTTTAAAGTATTTAAAGCACAGCGGAAGCATAATTTCACCTCCTCTTCAACTCTCTTTCATTCTCTCCCCCACTGTCTTTTCATCCCCTCGCAATCTCAGTTTCTCTCCGCTTCTCTCCCCCCTTCCTTCCCTCCCTTCCTCTTTTACCCTCTCACCTGTTCCCTTCTTGCAGACGTAGGGCAGGTTGTAGTTGCAGGGCACGTCGTTCCACTTGCCGTTCTCGTGGGCGATCATCACCACACAGTCCTCTCCACCCGCAAAGAAGTTGTCCGGCTGGTTCTCTCGCCAGTTCTCATATTGCTGCACAGTCACAGACACACAGGGTCAAAGACACAGACACACGGCACAGCAACAGACACAGACACACGACACCGACACATGGTACAGAGAGTCACAGACCCAGCCACAGACAGTCACACAACACAGACAGAACAAAAAAAGAAAGTGGTAGATACTGTAGACTGTTTCATTGTGCTCTTTTACTGAACAAGAAGCTGATGTGTCTCAACACAGGTCTTTCTCCAGTGGTATAGACTGACACAGAGTAATGACAGTTCTTAAATAACATCAGGCACATAGGAGATGCCTCTAGGAAGATGTAGTAGTGTTGGAAGAAAAGTGGTTCAGCGAGCGAGGGTGTACATATAAACAGGTAATGACACATTCACTCAATCAACTTCCCACCTGACCTTTAGCTAACATCCACATCCTCCGTAGGGGCCTCACTCACTCACTCACTCACTCACTCACTCACTCACTCACTCACTCACTCACTCACTCACTCACTCACTCACTCACTCACTCACTCACTCACTAACCAGGTCCATGTTGTCAGTCCACTGGAAATCCTCTTCCACTGTTCTGTCGTTCAGTCCGATCCAGGTGTTGTCATGACTCAGACCTGAACGACAGGGCAAAACAAATAAACACACACCACCCATCCTTTAAAAAGACACTTTTCCATTTAGCAGTATTTCCATTCCTATTCTACATGTTAAGTCCCCAATGCACCACCACCCATTCCCAAGTTACACACACACACACACACACACATACACACACACGGGAGGCTCAGCTCTGATCTTATCCCAATTCCAGCCCAGATAGCAGAAGGCAGAAGCAGCCAAATCTTTGCGGAAGGTGCAGCATTGATGAGATTTGAGTGCGGTGTAATGAAATTTCAGTCCTGATGTTTCTGATTAACATAATTATGGGGCCCATTAATCTTCCTAATGCCTTTGCTCCTTATATTGCCGGGATGGAGATGTCCATTTTCAAGGCAATTAAACACACTTTTTGGTAAATGTGTCTGTGGAGGGGAGGAAGAGGGAGGAGTGGGGGAATGTATAGCTCTGGCCTCTCTGGGACTGGGAGTGGCTCCCATGCTGGGGGTTTGATTCTGTCTTTCTTTTCATCCATTTCTTTCTTTCTCCATCCCACTGAGGATCCGAGAACATCAGACTGCACTTCATTATATATTCTGTAAGGTCGTAATGATTGAAAGACACCCACCGTTGATGAAGTCCTGCTCCTGGAGTGTGTGTATGCTGGCCAGGTGTCCGATGTGCTCCCTGCAGTCCTTCTCTGCGTCCTCCCAGGTGTGTCTGCGGCTGAAGTACCTGTAGCAGTGGCCATGGAACTTCCTCCATGCGTGTTCACAGCCCTCTGTGTCTGCACATACAGAGAGAGAGAGAGAGAGAGAGAGAGAGAGAGAGAGAGAGAGAGAGAGAGAGAGAGAGAGAGAGAGAGAGAGAGAGAGAGAGAGAGAGAGAGAGAGCGAGAGAGAGAGAGAGCGAGAGAGGGGGGTGTTAGTCTACAGAAACACACAGACGCACACATGAACAGTATACACATGAATGCACATACATGCATACTCATATATCTCTGTTACACACACACACTTCACACTTTTTTCCTGTCTCTCACATTCTTCCCAGTGCTCTACTTTCCCTCCTCCAGTATGACACTCCTTTTTCCCCCACCCTCCCTCCTCCCTCCCTCCCTCCCTCCCAACATGACGTCCGTCCAGGCCTAATCCCAGTCAGACAGTGGGCTGGGATGGGAGCAGAACAGTGTGAGGAAGCAGCTTAGCCCTGTGAAAGGCTCTTTAATCTATTTAAATGACAACAATCCCCAGAAATGTCTCCCAGTGGGGACGCCATCCGGACTAATTAAACCCTGTCAGGACTTTGCTCGTCTCCTCTTTCCTACTTTCTCTCCATCCATTTCTCTCTTCCTTTCCCTTCATCCCTGTCAGCACTGAGCCTCGTCCTCCATCCCTCTGCCTCCCGCTTCATCCCTCTTTCTCACTCTCTATCTCTCTCCCTCTATCCATCCCGTTTCTCCCTGTCCCTTCATCCCTGTCAGAAAGCACTGAGCCTCTCACTCCCTCCATCTCATCTCCCCCTCTCTCCATCCATCTTCCTTGGGGTTTACTGTATGGCGGTGCTCAGCTGCACCCATTCACTGTGTCTACGGAGGGTGTGTGAGGGAAACAGAGAGAGTGTGTGCGCGTGCGTGTGTATGCATCCGTGTTTGGGGATGGGGGTTCAGGGTTTATCTGTCAACCCAGCCCCCCTTTCCCTCCAACCCCTGCAGAGTGGGGATCGGAGAGAGATGGCCTCAGGTTTTCCCCCAACCCATCTAAAGCGACACCAGTAAATTGGGCAGTGCAAATAGGGCCTTATGGAACCCTGCTTAGCATGCAAACACTTCCAGGCCGGCCTGAGAGGAGCTCAGAGGAGAGGGGCCAAGGAGAGGAGGGTGTGTGTGTGTGTGTGTTTGTAAGTGGATGAGCGCTAGCTGCAGAGAGGCTGTCCAGTCCACTTATATTACACAGAGCTGCTCTCCATATGATGCAGTAGCTTGTAGTGGACTGTTCTCCACAACGCCGTGCTGTGATAATAGAGTCATCAGACACCTCTCTACATGCCCAGAGGAGAACAGATGAAAGCTTGAAGTGGATCACTCCGGAGGAAAGCTGTCCGTGGTTCTGAAAACACACAGCTCCAGCAGAATGCATTATCCTCGCTCACTATCAGTATTCACAACCTTCCAATGGCCAGCGCTCAAAGCAATCTAGTCTGTATTTGTTCTCAATATGGGGAACAACATGTAGCAAATTGTTTTGCACCCCCTTATAATAGGAAGCAATACTTAACATGTGGTGACAGGGTAACTACAGCAGTACCCTCATGCCCTAACACACACACACTTGCACATGTGCAGAATGTGGGAATGCAAGTTGAATGAATGGCGAATTGCCTTAGCACCAAACAAATTGGCACGTGCACACACGCATATAGGCATGCACGTGCACACCCACACACATGCAAACACACTGTGGAGGCCTGTGTGATTAGGCAACTGAACACATCTGCAGGGCTACAGACACTAATCTCCCCTTCTACGCCCAGCAGACTCCAAGATAACGCACTCACACACTGGGCTACGGTGTGTGTGTGTGTGTGTGTGTGTGTGTGTGTGTGTGTGTGTGTGTGTTGTGTGTGTGTGTGTGTGTGTGTGTGTGTGTGTTTGTGTGTGTGTGTGTGTGTGGCTGTGGTGTATTGTGTGTTGGTGTGTGTGTTGTGTGTGTGTGTGTGTGCTGGGTGTGTTTGTGTGTGTGTGGTGTGTGTGTGTGTGGTGTGTGTGTGCCGTCTTGTGTGTGTGATGTTGTGTGTTGTGCTGTGTGGTGTGTGTGTGGAGTTTGGCTGCTCACTTCAACGCTCTATGGCAATTCGCCACATATTCATTCATCATGCTTTCAAATTTCCCAACAGCAGTGCCTGTGTTTGTGTGTGTGGATAAGGGGGAGGCCCATTTTCACTCATAGGATGAATTAGACAGAGCAGAGGTGAGAGATAATGTGACAATCATTGAGCCTGCTGTAAACCTCTGGGATTTTAAGTATCATCCAGATGTCATGGAGTGAGTAGACAGCTAGATCTCTGTTCCCTCCACAGCTGAGGTCAGCCCACACAGTCTCTGCTGCCCAAGTAGGTTTTATCATCAAATAATACTCTGCTGTTCCACACAATTGCATTGAACAGTATGATGTAAGGAGGTGTGCTATTGTCCAAATGTCTTTTTATTGAGCCAGGTAGACATTGAAAACAAAGCCTGTTTTGCAACAGCGACCTAGTTGGTTTTTGCAGCCATACTGTATAATATAAGCTATAAGCTATATTTCCAAAAAGTGGGTAAAGATTAAGTAGTGCTGGGAAGTTTGGCTATTTTTACTGACTGATTTTTCGGACTTGTTCAGACAAAAAACTAATCTTTCGACTAATTTTGTTCATTTGAGTCTGTAATGCCCAGAGCACGTGGGACCCCCTACCGGCGAAGGATGAACTGAAAACGAGCTTCTCGTTCATGTCATTTACCATAGGAGGTTTATTAGAGCTGTCATTTATGACTGAGACTTGTAAACGTGTGTTTAAACAATGTACATTTGTTGATTGCTAGGCATACAAATAAGATTATTTCTTGATACATTTGAAACGAGTTGTGGCCGTAACCGGACTAGATTGTGAACAACTCTATGCGGAACGCATTGCTTGACTGCTGTGAGGGTGATAAGTAGGTTGAAGACTCACACTAAATTATTCCGCTGCTCTGTCGTTCGCTACACACTTCTCATTGCGGAGAAGAAACTAACGTCCGTGGGCGTAGTGTAGCGTTTGGCCGAGCAAGGAGTCTTGGTAGCCAGACAAGGTGATAAGCACAGTCGTTCGCCAACTGCAGCCACCTAAACGATTCGTTCTCGAGATCGAGTTTGTTGAGCAGAGGCTGTGTATGTTTTGGTTCTACAAAGCTGTGTCCATAACATTCAATAATCAATGAATTGCAGTCATTCTAGCACCATGTCTGTTTAGATCACACCCAAATAAGCCCTGGTTTCGGCTTCATCCTCTAACACCTTCGCTTACAGTTTGCCTGCTCCGTGGTTGGTATATTGTATTGGGGTCGGGAGCGTGTCCAACTTGGCTTGCGTTGGCGTAGACGGGGTTGTTATCTACAGAAACAGGGAGAATGGAAACACTGGGGGCTACGTAGGTGCACACACACGCACGCATGTACACAAACACATGCAAAGCAATACGCACACACACACACACACACACACTTGGATGCACGCACACACTGCATACACACACCGTGGGCTGCACCTGGCACCATGCCCAGACAGTGTGTAAGGCATTGGCTGCCCACTGTTGGGCCTTTACCAGCCAGCCCCAAGGCCTCCTGGGAGCTGCCATGAAAGAGGACAGTGGTGTGAAGGAGGCAAACAGAGCAGCTTAATCCAACAGCCTGAGAGGAAGGAGCCTGGGGCGCTCACACACACACACACACACACACACACACACACACACAGCAACATTATTTATCAGTGCCTTTGATGTGAACACTCCTGCTCATTAGACGATTTCACCCAGACTATCAATATTTGTTAAGCAGCTTGTCTGCAGAAAGAAAGGAACCATGCCTCTGCAGACAGACAGACAGAACAGACAGACAGCCTGACCCAGAAGGAAGCCAACACAGATACTGGTCTGCTCACAGATCTTAAGACTCTGCTCGACTGATTTCCTCCGCCGACAGACGTCTCAATGCATTACTTCAAGTTTTGATTTTTCCTTTGGACTGGGGTACATTTCTGCCATTAATATTCAGAGTGAGCAGGGAATGAGCATCAGTTAGGGAAAGAAAAGGCCAAATGCTTCCAGCTGAGTGATTGGGTCGTTTATCCACTTCACAATGTGATATTTGTGCGCCGTGGCTTTTTGAGACCTCTGATGATGAAACGCTGTGTGTGTACTGCCTTTCTCCTCCCCTCTCCCTCTCCCTGTGACACTTGCTTTAATGACTGACAGCTCTTTGCCATTTAAACGAGGCCACCCAGAGTCGGAGAGAGCCTTCCACATTCTCACAGAGACACCCTCTGCTTTTTGTGAGAATGTGTAAATGGAGGATAGGATGGGGGGTTATTATGGATATTACAGCCCTGTGATGAGGAGTCTAATCGGGTGAGCATTACCATCAATCTAATGGGTGAAGACTGTAAATGACTAATGCTCTCTGATGCCTGCCTGCCTCATTCCACCTTATTACCTGGAGATGTGACATTTACCACCAAGCTGCTGGCAGAGAGCTGGAGAGGGAGAGGACTCACACAATTAGATACCAGCCTGAAAATGGGACAGACCTTTACAGACCTGCTGTATATGTACAGTATGTGGACTGTGGATGGGAGCAGAGGGGAATGAGCGGGACAGAGGGATAGCACACCACACTCATATACAAATAGGCCTGGTAGTATCTACTGAATGTAGCTGTAACTAGCTCCCAAGGTAGCTCCCTAACCTGAAACGAGCTGCTGCGTGTTCAGGCCGTCAGGAGTGGAGCTCTGTTATTGGTGGGCCTGCCAGAGGCCGTCAGGAGTGGAGCTCTGTTATTGGTGGGCCTGCCAGGTAGTCCATCAGCACTAGAGAGCTCAGAGCCTCTGTTTACAGGCCCAGGGTCCACTGGGGAGACCATTAGAGAAGAGGAGGCCAGGACCCCAACACTCTGTCTAACAGCAGCCTCTCAGCCTGCACATACTGGATCACCAGAGTACCTAGTCTAATGGCTCAATGCTAGCGCGCTGTCTATAGGGGCTAATCCTGGGAGGCTGTCAGTTATATGCAAGGAAGGTTAAAGGAGTTTGTGTGTGTGTGTGTGTGGGGGGGGTCCTAAAATCCCCAAAAGTCCCCACAAGGATATTAAAATAAGGAAGATTCTCCCTCGTAGGGACATTTCCCACATCCCCATGAGGACAAAGGCTATTTTAAGTTTAGGGGTTAGGTTTAGGCTTACAATTAGGGTTAGGGTAAGGTAAGGGGTTAGTGGTTAGGTTTAGGGTTCAGGTTAGGGTTAGTGTGAAAGTTATGGTAAGGGTTAAGATTATGGTTGGGGATAATAGGATTTAGAATGGAAATATATTTTAGGTCCCATGAGGATAGAAGAACATAACATGTCTGTGTGTGTGTGTGTGTGTGTGTGTGTGTGTGTGTGTGTGTGTGTGGTGTGTGTGTGTGTGTGTGTGTGTGTGTGAGAGAGAGAGAGAGAGAGAGAGAGAGAGAGAGAGAGAGAGAGTGTGTGTGTTGACATGCTGGGACTGCTTGGGAGAGAGACAGTGAGGGAAAAAAGTATTTGATCCCCTGCTGATTTTGTACGTTTGCCCACTGACAAAGAAATGATCAGTCTATAATTTTAATGGTAGGTTTATTTGAACAGTGAGAGACAGAATAACAACAACAAAAATCCAGAAAAACGCATGTCAAAAATGTTATAAATTGATTTGCATTTTAATGAGGGAAATAAGTATTTGACCCCCTCTCAATCAGAAAGATTTCTGGCTCCCAGGTGTCTTTTATACAGGTAACGAGCTGAGATTAGGAGCACACTCTTAAAGGGAGTGCTCCTAATCTCAGTTTGTTCAAATCAAATCAAATCAAATTGTATTGGTCACATGCGCCGAATACAACAGGTGCAGACATTACAGTGAAATGCTTACTTACAGCCCTTAACCAACAGTGCATTTATTTTTAACAAAAAAAGTAAAAATAAAACAACAACAAAAAAAGTGTTGAGAAAAAAAAGAGCAGAAGTAAAATAAAATAACAGTAGGTTGGCTATATATACAGGGGGGTACCGGTGCAGAGTCAATGTGTGGGGGCACCGGCTAGTTGAGGTAGTTGAAGTAATATGTATAAAAGACACCTGTCCACAGAAGCAATCAATCAATCAGATTCCAAACTCTCCACCATGGCCAAGACCAAAGAGCTCTCCAAGGATGTCAGGGACAAGATTGTAGACCTACACAAGGCTGGAATGGGCTACAAGACCATCACCAAGCAGCTTGGTGAGAAGGTGACAACAGCAAATGGAAGAAACACAGAAGAACAGTCAATCTCCCTCGGCCTGGGGCTCCATGCAAGATCTCACCTCGTGGAGTTGCAATGATCATGAGAACGGTGAGGAATCAGCCCAGAACTACACGGGAGGATCTTGTCAATGATCTCAAGGCAGCTGGGACCATTGTCACCAAGAAAACAATTGGTAACACACTACGCCGTGAAGGACTGAAATCCTGCAGCGCCCGCAAGGTCCCCCTGCTCAAGAAAGCACATATACAGGCCCGTCTGAAGTTTGCCAATGAACATCTGAATGATTCAGAGGAGAACTGGGTGAAAGTGTTGTGGTCAGATGAGACCAAAATTGAGCTCTTTGGCATCAACTCAACTCGCCGTGTTTGGAGGAGGAGGAATGCTGCCTATGACCCCAAGAACACCATCCCCACCGTCAAACACGGAGGTGTAAACTTTATGCTTTGGGGGTGTTTTTCTGCTAAGGGAACAGGACAACTTCACCGCATCAAAGGGATGATGGACGGGGCCATGTACCGTCAAATCTTGGGTGAGAACCTCCTTCCCTCAGCCAGGGCATTGAAAATGGGTTGTGGATGGGTATTCCAGCATGACAATGACCCAGAACACACGGCCAAGGCAACAAAGGAGTGGCTCAAGAAGAAGCACATTAAGGTCCTGGAATGGCCTAGCCAGTCTCCAGACCTTAATCCCATAGAAAATCTGTGGAGGGAGCTGAAGGTTTGAGTTGCCAAACGTCAGCCTGGAAACCTTAATGACTTGGAGAAAATCTGCAAAGAGGAGTGGGACAAAATCCCTCCTGAGATGTGTGCAAACCTGGTGGCCAACTACAAGAAACGTCTGACCTCTGTGATTGCCAACAAGGGTTTTGCCACCAAGTACTAAGTCATGTTTTGCAGAGGGGTCAAATACTTATTTCCCTCATTAAAATGCAAATCAATTTATAACATTTTTGACATGCATTTTTCTGGATTTTATTGTTATTCTGTCTCTCACTGTTTAAATAAACCTACCATTAAAATTATAGACTGATAATTTCTTTGTCAGTGGGCAAACGTACAAAATCAGCAGGGGATCAAATACTTTTTTCCCTCACTGTAGAAAGAGAAAAGAAAGCAGTGCTTTCCAATGCTAGGACTCCCTCCCTCCGCCACACAGCGGATTCCAGGATTGCTCCTGGAACACGTCCCTAATTAAGCATGTTGAATGAGAATCAACACAGGTTCCTATTCTGCCACACAAAGACAAGATGGGCTTTCACCTTTCCCCCAGAACAGACTTGGCAAACAGAGACAATAGCATATGGGCCGAGAGCTGTAGTCAGAGTCATTTGACAGCATTTCATTATTCTGTTTGACTAGTCCCTGCCAAGTTGCCTGTAAACTTAGTGATAAGCTCCTGCAGATGCGAGACCCCCAGTGAGGTGGATCGTGCTCAAAGCGACAACAAGCTCTGGCAGAGAGACGGCAAAGACTTGAAGCCCACTCGATCCGCCCGCCTTCTGCTCTGAGCCCCGGCACGTGTCCCTCTCGATGTGTATTATTATAACACAAATCTTCATTAGCATTAATAGCCTCGATAAATACCCAGAGGAAGATCAATTTGACGGCTTTCCTTGCGGTTTATGCAGAGTCGTGGTTTAGACAGGACCCACAGCGGCTCAATCTCCAGCCTGCCCCTGGAGCTGCCTGTCTTAAAACACAATACTGCATAAAACAGCATCTCTCTTCTGTCTGTCTGTCTCTTACTCAAACATCTCAGATGTATGTGCAGCACAGAAAATGTGCAGAGGGCAAGGTCAGGGTCAAGGCCAGCGTTATGGCCCGCCCTACCATACCTCCTTGCCCGTCCAAATAAAATATTGAAATATTGATAATTTATTTGACAGAGACTCGCGCCAACAGAAAGGCACATAAATCTCAGTTAAAGCATCCGAGCGAGTGATATAGCGTCCCCTGTCTCAGAATGTGTAGACCAGGGATCATCAGCTACATTGAACAAAAATATAAACGCAACATGCAACACTTTCAAAGACTTTACTGAGTTACAGTTCATATAAGGAAATCAGTCAATTGAAATAAATAAATTAGGCACTAATCTATGGATTTCACATAACTGGGAATATAGATATGCATCTGTTGGTCACAGATACCTTTAAAAAAAAGTAGGTGTGTGGATCAGAAAACCAGTCAGTATGTGGTGTGACCACCATTTGCCTCATGCAGCGCGACACATCTCCTTCACATAGAGTTGATCAGGCTGTTGATTGTGGCCTGTGGAATGTTGTCCCACTCCTCATGAAAGACTGTGTAAAGCTGCTGGATATTGACGGGAACTGGAACAAGCTGTCATACACGTCAATCCAGACCATCCTAAACGTGCTCAATGGGTGAAATGTCTGGTGAGTATACAGGCCATGGAAGAACTGGGACATTTTCTGCTTCCAGGAATTGTGTACAGATCCTTGCGACATGGGAGGTCCTGGGCTGGCGTGGTTACACGTGGTCTGCGGTTGTGAGGCCAGTTGGACGTACTACCAAACTCTAAAACGACGTTGGAGGCGGCTCATCAATTCTCTGGCAACAGCTCTGGTGGACATTCCTGCAGTCAGCACGCCAATTGCACACTCCCTTAAAACTTGAGAAATCTGTGGCATTGTGTTGTGTGACAAAATGGTACATTTTTGAGTGGCCTTTTATTGTCCCCAGCACAAGGTGCACCTGTGTAATGATCATGCTGTTTAATCATCTTCTTAATATGCCACACCTGTCAGGTGGATGGATTATCTTGGCAATGTAGAAATGCTCACTAACAGGGATGTAAACAAATTTGTGCATAACATTTGAGAGAAATAATATTTTTGTGCAAATGGAAAATATGGGATCTTTTATTTCAGCTCATGAAACATGGGACCATGTCACGCCCTGACATAGAGATCTCTAGTTGGTTTGGTCAGGGTGTGAATATCTATGTGTAGATCTAGAATGTGTAGATCTATGTTGGCCGGGTGTGGTTCCCAATCAGAGGCAGCTGTCAATCGTTGTCTCTGATTGGGGATCATACTTAGGTAGCCATTTTGCCTACCTATGTTGTGGGATCTTGTTTCAGTTTGGCTTGTTGGATGTTTAGCGTTTTGAACTTCACGTTACGTTGCTTTTGTTGTTTTGTCGGTGTTTAATATAATAAACGAATATACGCATACCACGCTGCACCTTGGTCCAATCCTTTACTCAACGAACATGACAGACCAACACTTTACACATTGCGTTTATATTTCTGTTCAGTATAGATTCAGCTGCGGGGCGATTCTTTTTGAGCGGATGTTACAAATAATTTGTAGACTGCAATTTGACCACAAGAAGCCCAAACAGATTTAATGTTTGACTAAAACATAATCATTTCAAACCTTGCTTACATTTGTATACGATCACGTGTCTCTCTATTATGCGTGGAAATACTTGGGAACAGATTTCTTAAATTCAAATTACTTGGAGCTGATTTCCTGGTGTTTTACAGTCTTTTATGTCCAACAATGAACAAAAAAAATATCTACACTACCGGTCAAAAGTTTTAGAACACCTACTCATTCTAGGGTTTTTCTTTATTTGTACTATTTTCTACATTGTAGAATAATAGTGAAGACATCAAAACGATGAAATAACACATATGGAATCATGTCAATTAACAGGTGTGCCTTCTTGAAAGTGAATTTGTGGAATTTGTTTCCTTCTTAATGCATTTCAGCCAATCAGTTGTGTTGTGACAAGGTGGGGGGAGTTTCTTCAAGTGCAGTCGCAAAAACCATCAAGCGCTATGATGAAACTGGTTCTCATGAGGACCGCCACAGGAATGGAAGAACCAGAGTTACCTCTGCTGCAGAGGATAAATTCATTAGAGTTACCAGCCTCAAAAATTGTAGCCCAAATAAATGCTTCACAGAGTTCAAGTAACAGACACATCTCAACATCAACTGTTCAGAGGAGAATGTGTGAATCAGGCCTTCATGGTCGAATTGCTGCAAAGAAACCACTTCTAAAGGACACCAATAAGAAGAAGAGACTTGTTTGGCCCAAGAAACATGAGCAATGGACATTAGACCGGTGGAAATTTGTCCAAATTGGAGAGTTTTGGCTCCAACCGCTGTGTCTTTGTGAGACGCATGTGGGTGAACGGATGATCTCTGCATGAGTATTTCCCACCGTAAAGCATGGAGGAGGAGGTGTTATGGTGTGGGGGTGCTTTGCTGGTGACACTGTCTGTGATTTATTTAGAATTCAAGGCACACTTAACCAGCATGGCTACCACAGCATTCTGCAGCGATATGCCATCCCATCTGGTTTGGGCTTAGTGGGACTATCACTTGTTTTTCAACAGGACAATGACCCAACACACCTCAAGGCTGTGTAAAGGCTATTTTACCAAGAAGGACAGTGATGGAGTGCTGCATCAGATGACCTGGCCTCCACAATCCCCTGACCTCAACCAAATTGAGATGGTTTGGGATGAGTCGGACCGCAGAGTGAAGGAAAAGCAGCCAACATGTGCTCAGAAAATGTGGGAACTCCTTCAAGACTGTTGGAAAAGCATTCCAGGTGAAGCTGGTTGAGAGAATGCCAAGAGTGTGCAAAGCTGTCATCAAGGCAAAGGGTGGCTATTTGAAGAATCTCAAATATAAAATATATTTTGATTTGTTTAACACTTTTTTGGTTACTACATGATTCCATATGTGTTATTTAATAGTTTTGATGTCTTCACTATTATTCTACAATGTAGAAAATAGTTTAAAAAAAGAATAAATGTTGAATGAGTAGGTGTTCTAAAACTTTTGACCGGTAGTGTATATAAACTATTTAGCCCGCGGGCCGCCAGTTGGGGAACCCTGGTGTAGACCATGTATCTGATGCTGTCTGGACCAAAAGAGTATGGCATGTCATATTATTTCTGGCCAGACAGCATCAGATACAGTGCATTCGGAAAGTATTCAGACCCTTTGACTTTTTCCACATTTTGTTACGTTACAGCCTTATTCTAAAATGGATTAAATCGTTTTTTCCCCTCATCAATCTACACACAATACCCCATAATGATGAACGAATTTGAACGATGATGAACGATGAACGAATTTATAAAAAATTAAAAACATAAATATCACATTTACATAAGTATTCAGACCCTTTACTCAGTACTTTGTTGAAGCACCTTTGGCAGCGATTACATCCTAGAGTCTTCTTGGGTATGATGCTACAAGCTTGGCATACCTGTATTTGGAGAGTTTCTCCCATTCTTCTCTGCAGATCCTCTCAAGCTCTGTCAGATCGCTGCACTTTCGCCCCAGTCTGAGGTCCTGAGCACTCTGGAGCAGGTTTTCATCAAGGATCTCTCTGTACTTTGCTCCGTTCATCTTTCCCTCGATCCTGACTAGTCTCCCAGTCCCTGCCACTGAAAAACATCCCCACAGCATGATGCTGCCACCACCATGCTTCACCGTAGGGATGGTGCCAGGTGTCTTCCAGACGTGACGCTTGACATTCAGGCCAAAGAGTTCAATCTTGGTTTCATCAGACCAGAGAATCTTGTTTCTCATGGTCTGAGAGTTCTTTAGGTGCCTTTTGGCAAACTCCAAGTGGGCTGTCATGTGCCTTTTACTGAGGAGTGGCTTCCGTCTGGCCACTTTACCATAAAGGCCTGATTGGTGGAGTGCTGCAGAGATGGTTGTCCTTCTGGAAGGTTCTCCCATTGCCCATTGCAATACTTATATTTTTTAAAATCTAAAAACCTGTTTTTCGATTTGTCATTATGTAGATTGATGAGGATTTGTATTTATTTAATACATTTTAGAATAAGGCTGTAACATAACAAAATGTGGAAAAAGGGAAGGGGTCTGAATACTTTCCGAATGCACTGTACGTGGGCTACATATAGAGGGGCGCTGTTTCGTTCGCTCAGATGCTTTCTCCAATATTCAGACCAAAGCCATCCCGCCTTTGGGGCAAAGACTCCCATTGTTAGGGCGGAAACATGAGTATCTCGTTATTATATACCGAACTCTGGTTTCAGCCTCTTGCGAATTGGAAAGGAAAGTTGGCGATTGCACAGTGCACTGTTAGGAATCTGGATTACCCTAAAGTAAATTGATGTTTCGCCAACATTATATAATTACTCCTGTCTAAATAAAATCATTCAAAATACTTCACTAGGGAGCATGACTTAGCCACATAGGATCATTAGTTTATTATTATTATTTTTTGCTGTGGATTGTTTCAAACAAGTGTGTTTGGGTAGTGCGCATGGCAATAGGTCTAGCTGATTAAGTTGTGGCTGTCAGTGAAAAGTGTCTCAAATATGTGTAAAGACAATGTGTAGAAGAAGGGGAGGGGGGGGGGGAGTGGCGAAGATATGGTGCATCTCTCTCCAGAATCCAAGCATATGTAGGAATGTGCCCATTGGCAATGTCTTATTTCTGATTGTCTTAACTCACCATATACACCACTAATTTTTTCTTCGCCTCACACAAGTCAACAAAGTCTGTTTTTTAACATCCATTGCGAATTATATAGTTCCTCAGTAGGCTATTTGAAAAATCTGTCCAACACTTCCAGCCTCGATAATCACCAAGCCGTGAGAAAGAGCAAAATATCATGATCTGATGATCCCATTTATCCAGTGGAAACGTCTTAAAAAACAAATTTCATCTCCTATGCGGAGGTGATTAAAATAATTGAGAAAACAAGTGATGCTAGTGAAGATATGGTAGTGGATGCAAATGTTTGTTGCCAGTCAAAAGATACCCTGTGTGTTAAAAAGGTGGATTTTGTGGCATTCATTGCCACAGTTATAAACTGTACGGTTCAAGTCTCAAAGAATTCTAAGTAACTGGACATTATTGTGGCTGCGGCAGAAACGCTTTTGGGACTTGCAAGGGGTACTAGGGCCGGAAGACGGCCTGCCCTCCCAGGCTCCCCTTGGGCCTGTGTAGGGATCAGATCTGTTTTATTTTGTAAACAGTAAAGCTGTTTGATTTGGTTTATTTAATTTTTTGTAGTTTGGTATTATTATAATTCTTTGGTAGTTTGTTCAGTTTTTTGGGGGAATCCTGTTTCCATCCCGCACAGTACATTAAATTGTGCAATCGCCAATATACCATAGAAGAAGAAGAAGAAGTAGAATAATATTTTACAAATATATTTCTGTCCCGAGCTCACTGGCACAAGAAACCATGAGGGCCCGGAATAGTCTAGTTGATACAATGTTGTAAGTTCGCTAGTGATGATTTGATACAATGTTGCACTTCACTAGCAATAGCTCAAGTCAAGACATATAGAAAGGGAGGCAGACGGGCAGACAAGAGAGATGAATGTGATTGAAAGAACCAGAATTTTCATCTGGATATTTTCTACTGCTTAAGGCCTATGTATTTAGGCCTATGTATTTCACTTAGTTGACGATGGAAGTTATAAGCCTACTGCTGCATCTCTGAGTTCTATGCTCTCATTTCTTTAGCTGCCAGTGGATCACAGTGTATCAATGTGTCCATATGGCAGAGGTTAGTGCTCATTTTACTTCAGATTTTTATGATTAACCACGTGACAATGATTTTGAGAAACAAAAACTTTATTATTAAAATGAAACTGTTCAACGAAAATACACATATAAAAATAAGTAGCACGCAGATCGGTGGAAATGGTAGAACAAATTGTAAGCTTCACCAAACTTGAAACTCATGAGCTGCCTATGGCCTTTACTACTACATCCATTAAAATATATATGAACTCGCAAGCGCGTGCACACATAGGAGGTCCCGTGAAAAAACGTGCCCTCCTATGCCCGTCCAACTGATTTGTTCTGGCGCCGGGTCTGGTCAGGGTTAACAGGACCGATGCATGGCCTGCATTGTACTTCAATGTGGCTCATCAATCACAAGCACACTAGACCTAAAAAAAAACGCAGGTCAATGATCCTCTGATATAGATTGTGAACTTCTACAGAGGAATAAAGGAGAGGTACCAGTACTCAACAAACTCCATACTGCTGCTCCGAGTTCAACGATGCAGTCATCGAAGCAGTCATCAAAGCAGTAAAGACTAAAGTAACTGCTACCTAAAAGCTGCTTACCTAAGCCCTACTGACTGATTACAGTGTGTGTCATAAACTGCTTCTATAAATATGTGATGCATAAAGGATCTGCACACAGGGAATTACACACAAGTCTGCTTTATGAGCTGACTACAGTACAACACAAATGGGTAATGGAAATATACAGGTAACTGTCAGGAAACACCAACATAAAGTCTCTTAATAGGGCGCTGGGCCACCACGAGCCAGAACAGCTTCAATGCATCTTGGCATAGATTCTACAAGTGTCTGGAACTCTACTGGAGGGTTAGTTTGTTGATAGTGTTGGAAAACGCTGTCTCAAGCGCCGCTCCAGAATCTCCCATAAGTGTTAAATTGGGTTGAGATCTGGTGACTGAGACGGCCATGGCATATGGTTTACATCGTTTTCATGCTCATCAAAGCATTCAGTGACCACTCGTGTCCTGTGGATGGGTACATTGTCATCCTATGGGGGCATAACCATGGTAGCCAAAATAATGGCATGCCCAGCATTTTTATACATTACCCTAAGCATGATAGGATGTTAATTGCTTAATTAACTCAGGAACCACAGCTGTGTGGAAGCACCTGCTTTCAATATACTTTGTATCTCTAATTTACTCTAGTGTTTCCATTATTTTGGCAGTTACCTGTAGTATGTACAGTATGTACAATATAGTTATAGGGTTGGCAAGGACTGAATAAAAAGAGAAACAAGAGACAGAGAGAGAGAGTGCGTGAGAGAAAGAAGAAGAAGAAGAAGTGGAAGAAGAAGAAAAATAGAGAGGGAAATAGAGAGGGAAATAGAGAGGGACAGAGAGGTAGGAATACATATTGGTTTCCAGGCTTTTTCCTACAGACGTGAGTGTTTAGTTTTAGTGTTGGTGTTTAAGTCCTCCTCTCCTTCTCTCTAAGCTGCCGTTAGCCTGGCATTAATCACTCCCACCAGCTCTACAACACACAGGAGGATTTAACACCTTTACCAGACAACACTCCTCTCTAACTCCTCTCTCTCTCCTAATGCTGAATAAATATTTATGCAACGGATGGAAAAGCAGGCAAGCAGGGAGAAGGAGGAGGAGAAAACATTAGCAAAGCAGTAGCATTCTCCAGTAGGCTCTCTGAGTTAAAGCAACACGCGAGGAGGGCACATTCTTCCTAGAGATAAAGGCAGCAGTAAGTCAGTCCACAACCACAAGCCTAGGGATTAATTAGCTGGAGCACAATGCTTTAACAGGCTTTTTATTCAATTTGTCTACTTATTTGTTCTGGAGGGGCTGCGATTTATCTCCTGGGGATTGGGATGATCTTTACGTGGTTGTTGTTCAAACTCTGTCTATGATGTTCTTGAGAACTAGTACTTCAGTACTACAATAACTTAGCTGGTAGGAGTTGTGTGGATTGTTAGTTTTCCCGTCACAGGGAACACAGTGAGAGAGCCTGTTGCTGGTGGTGCTCTGTCTGTATGTGAAGGATTTCTTACATGTGTAGTTTCTGCTGAAGTAAGCAGTGAGGGGGAGAAGCTTTGGAGTTGGGATGGCGGGCGTAGAGAGAAACATGAATCCACAGTGAGTCAGGGAGGAATGGTAGGATATGTGTGGTGTGTGTGTGTGTGTGTGTGTGTGTGTTTGTGTGTGTCTTTGTACAGTGGGGAAAAAAAGTATTTAGTCAGCCACCAATTGTGCAAGTTCTCCCACTTAAAAAGATGAGAGAGGCCTGTAATTTTCATCATATGTACACGTCAACTATGACAGACAAAATGAGATTTTTTTTCTCCAGAAAATCACATTGTAGGATTTTTAATGAATTTATTTGCAAATTATGGTGGAAAATAAGTATTTGGTCAATAACAAAAGTTTCTCAATACTTTGTTATATACCCTTTGTTGGCAATGACAGAGGTCAAACGTTTTCTGTAAGTCTTCACAAGGTTTTCACACACTGTTGCTGGTATTTTGGCCCATTCCTCCATGCAGATCTCCTCTAGAGCAGTGATGTTTTGGGGCTGTCGCTGGGCAACACGGACTTTCAACTCCCTCCAAAGATTTTCTATGGGGTTGAGATCTGGAGACTGGCTAGGCCACTCCAGGACCTTGAAATGCTTCTTACGAAGCCACTCCTTCGTTGCCCGGGCGGTGTGTTTGGGATCATTGTCATGCTGAAAGACCCAGCCACGTTTCATCTTCAATGCCCTTGCTGATGGAAGGAGGTTTTCACTCAAAATCTCACGATACATGGCCCCATTCATTCTTTCCTTTACACGGATCAGTCGTCCTGGTCCCTTTGCAGAAAAACAGCCCCAAAGCATGATGTTTCCACCCCCATGCTTCACAGTAGGTATGGTGTTCTTTGGATGCAACTCAGCATTCTTTGTCCTCCAAACACGACGAGTTGAGTTTTTACCAAAAAGTTCTATTTTGGTTTCATCTGACCATATGACATTCTCCCAATCCTCTTCTGGATCATCCAAATGCACTCTAGCAAACTTCAGATGGGCCTGGACATGTACTGGCTTAAGCAGGGGGACACGTCTGTCACTGCAGGATTTGAGTCCCTGGCGGCGTAGTGTGTTACTGACGGTAGGCTTTGTTACTTTGGTCCCAGCTCTCTGCAGGTCATTCACTAGGTCCCCCCGTGTGGTTTTGGGATTTTTGCTCACCGTTCTTGTGATCATTTTGACCCCACGGGGTGAGATCTTGCGTGGAGCCCCATATCGAGGGAGATTATCAGTGGTCTTGTATGTCTTCTATTTCCTAATAATTGCTCCCACAGTTGATTTCTTCAAACCAAGTTGCTTACCTATTGCAGATTCAGTCTTCCCAGCCTGGTGCAGGTCTACAATTTTGTTTCTGGTGTCCTTTGACAGCTCTTTGGTCTTGGCCATAGTGGAGTTTGGAGTGTGACTGTTTGAGGTTGTGGACAGGTGTCTTTTATACTGATAACAAGTTCAAACAGGTACCATTAATACAGGTAACGAGTGGAGGACAGAGGAGCCTCTTAAAGAAGAAGTTACAGGTCTGTGAGAGCCAGAAATCTTGCTTGTTTGTAGGTGACCAAATACTTATTTTCCACCATAATTTGCAAATAAATTCATAAAAAATCCTACAATGTGATTTTCTGGAGAAAAAAAATCTCAATTTGTCTGTCATAGTTGACGTGTACCTATGATGAAAATTACAGGCCTCTCTCATCTTTTTAAGTGGGAGAACTTGCACAATTGGTGGCTGACTAAATACTTTTTTCCCCCACTGTATGTGTTGTGTATGTGTGTGTGCGAGCGTGCCTGTGTTTTTGTGTGTGTGTGTTAACACTCAATAGCACCAAAAGCTCTCAGCCCAGAGACTATGCTGCCGTACACAGGGAACAGATGAAACTCTGTGACAGAGAAGCGTCACAGGGCTTTTATTAATGTATAAAGACACTGACTAATGCTAACACACGCCAAACATGCCACACAGCAGATTTGCTGTAACAACATAACAGACTTTCTGTGGCGTGGGAGACAGGGGCATGATGCTGCTGTGGGGAGAGAGAGAGAGAGAGGGAGAAGAGAGAGCAGAGCAGAGGAGAGAGCGCGAGCCTAGATCGAGAGAGAGAGAGATCGATAGAGACGAGAGGACTAGAGAGCAGAGAGCCGAGAGAGAGAGAGAGAGAGGTTTGAAGTAAACACGGAAGGGAGGGAATGGTTTTGCTTCAGGATGGAAACATGACAAGGTGTAAGGATGAGAGAGAAAGAGAGCAGAGAGAAAGAGAGGAGAGAGTACCGTGTTATTCTGTAACGTGTACTCTGGGAGTCGGGAAGCAAGTACAGGGAGTGAATTTAATAATAAATGAAACAAGAAACAGGAGTAGCGTACAGACATGAAACACAGGAACAGAATCAATAACGCCTAGGGAAGGAACCAAAAGGAGTGACATACAGTGGGGAAAAAAAGTATTTAGTCAACCACCAATTGTGCAAGTTCTCCCACTTAAAAAGATGAGAGAGGCCTGTAATTTTCATCATAGGTTCACGTCAACTATGACAGACACATTGAGAATTTTTTTTCTCCAGAAAATCACATTGTAGGATTTTTAATGAATTTATTTGCAAATTATGGTGGAAAATAAGTATTTGGTCAATATGTCACGTTCGTTGAAGGACGGGTCAGACCAAGGCGCAGCGTGATATGCATACATCTTTATTTAAACTTAATAAACACTCGACAAAACAATAAACGAAACTAAACGTGAAGTCCAAGGTAGACACAAACAACATACCTTATACGGAATAAGATCCCACCACCCACTAGTGCCAATAGGCTGCCTAAGTATGGTCCCCAATCAGAGACAACGAGCGACAGCTGCCTCGGATTGGGAACCATACCGGCCAACATAGATCTAGACATACTAGACTATAAACATAGATCTACACCACATAGAAAATCACACCCTGACTCAACAAATAAGAGTCCCCAGAGTCAGGGCATGACAGTACCCCCCCCAAAGGTGCGGACTCCGACCGCACAACCTTTACTTAACAGGGGCCGGGTGGGCATTCCGCCTCGGAGGCGGATCCGGCTCCGGGCGTGACAACCACCTATATATAGTTGACGTGTACCTATGATGAAAATTACAGGCCTCTCTCATCTTTTTAAGTGGGAGAACTTGCACAATTGGTGGCTGACTAAATACTTTTTTTCCCCACTGTATATAGGGGAGGTAATCAGGAAGGTGATGGAGTCCAGGTGAGTCTTATGAGGCGCAGGTGCGCGTAACGATGGTGGCAGGTGTGCGTAATAATGAGCAGACTGGCGACCTCGAACGCTGGAGAGGGAGTATACAGTTGAAGTCGGAAGTTTACATATACCTTAGCCAAATACATTTAAACTCAGTTTTTCACAATTCCTGACATTTAATCCGAGTAAACATTCCCTGTCTTAGGTCAGTTAGGATCACCACTTTATTTTAAGATTGTGAAATGTCAGAATAATAGTAGAGAGAATGATTTATTTCAGCTTTTATTTCTTTCATCACATTCCCAGTGGGTCAGAACTTTCCATACACTCAATTAGTATTTGGTAGCATTGCCTATAAATTGTTTAACTTGGGTCAAACGTGTCGGGTAGCCTTCCACAAGCTTCCCACAATAACTTGGGTGAATTTTGGCCCATTCCGCCTGACAGAGATGGTGTAACTGAGTCAGGTTTGTAGGCCTCCTTGCTCGCACACACTTTTTCAGTTCTGCCCACATAATTTCTATAGGATTGAGGTCAGGGCTTTGTGATGGCCACTCCAGTACCTTGACTTTGTTGTCCTTAAGCCATTTTGCCACAACTTTGGAAGTATGCTTGGGGTCATTGTCCATTTGGAAGACCCATTTGCGACCAAGCTTTAACTTCCTGACTGATGTCTTGAGATGTTGCTTCAATATATCCACATAATTTTCTTTCCTCATGTTGCCATCTATTTTGTGAAGTACACCAGTCCCTCCTGCAGCAAAGAACCCCCACAGCATGATGCTGCCACCCCCGTGCTTCACGGTTGAGATGGTGTTCTTCGGCTTGCAAATAGCTCCCTTTTTCCTCCAAACATAACGGTGGTCATTATGGCCAAACAGTTATATTTTTGTTTCATCAAACCAGAGGACATTTCTCCAAAAAGTACGATCTTTGTCGCCATGTGCAGTTGCAAACTGTAGTCTGGCTTTTTTATGGCGGTTTTGGAGCAGTGGCTTCTTCCTTGCTGAGCGGCCTTTCAGGTTATGTCGATATAGGACTCGTTTTACTGTGGATATAGATACTTTTGTACCTGTTTGCTCCAGCATCTTCACAAGGTCTGTTGCTGTTGTTCTGGGATTGATTTGCACTTTTCGCACCAAAGTACGTTCATCTCTAGGAGACAGAACGCGTCCCCTTCCTGAGTGGTATGACGGCTGCTTGGTCCCATGGTGTTTATACTTGCGTACTATTGTTTGTACAGATGAACGTGGTACCTTCAGGCGTTTGGAAATTGCTCCCAAGGATGAACCAGACTTGTGGAGGTCTACAATTTTCTTTCTGAGGTCTTGGCTGATTTCTTTTGATTTTCCCATGATGTCAAGCAAAGAGGCACTGCGTTGGAATGTAGGCCTAGAAATACATCCACAGGTACACCTCCAATTGACTCAAATTATGTCAATTAGCCTATCAGGAGCTTCTAAAGCCATGACATCATTTTCAGGAATTTTCCAAGCTGTTTAAAGGCACAGTCAACTTAGTGTATGTAAACATCTGACCCACTGGAATTGTGATACAGTGAATTATAAGTGAAATAATCTGTCTGTAAACAACTGTTGGAAAGATTACTTGTGTCATGCACAAAGTAGATGTCCTAACCGACTTGCCAAAACTATAGTTTGTTAACAAGAAATTAGTGGAGTGGTTGAAAAACGAGTTTTAATGACTCCAACCTAAGTGTATGTAAACTTCTGACTTCAACTGTACGTGACAGTACCCCCTCCCTGACGCGCAGCTCCAGCCGCAGGACGCCGACCAGAGGGATGGTCCCGGGGACCAGGAGCGGGCCGATCGCTTCTGCTGAGGCGTGGGAACCTGTAGAGCCGGCTGAGGCATGGGAGCCCGACGAGCCGGCTGAGGCATGGGAACCTGCCGAGCCAACCGAGGCTTGTGAACCTCTCGAGCCAGCTGAGGCATCCCGGTTGCTTCGGCAGCGGCACCCGGACCCGACGTCACCAACAAAAACAAAGAACTCCCTGAACCCGAGGCGTTATTCTGTAACGTGTACGCTGGGAGTCGGGAAGTACAGGGAGTGAACTTGACTGGCCTGCACAGAGCCCTGACCTCAACCCCATCGAACACCTTTGGAACGCCGACTGCGAGCCAGGCCTAATCACCCAACATCAGTGCCCGACCTCACTAATGCTCGTGGCTGAATGGAAGCAAATCCCAGCAGCAATGTTCCAACATCTAGTGAAAAGCCTTCCCAGAAGAGTGGATGCTGTTATAGCAGCAAAGGGGGTACCAACTCCATATTAATGCCCATGATTTTGGAATGAGATGTTCGACGAGCAGGTGTCCACATGCTTTGGTCATGTAGTTTATAACAGTGGAGTATAGTACAGGTACAACTAATAGGCTCTCTCCCCTCTCTCCTGTCTGTGATGGGCTGTGCACTGCAGGGTGATGTGACATGGTCATTGGACAACGAGGTTGGAGGAAACTATATGACTCCCCACGGTGGTCTCCATGGAAACTGTCTGGAGGGCCTGGAAGAGGGGGAGGAGGAGGGAGGGGGGTGGGAGGGAGGCAGGAGCATCAAAGGACCAGAGGAGCTGGGATGAGGGGATGAGGACAGGCAGCAGGCAGTAGGCCTTGGATCGTATTACAGGGAAGAATGACATGGCTGAACATGAACTTAATAGGGATGGTTAGGCTAAGGCACTTTAGTGAAAGAGAGATTGATTGCCTTACATTTAAAGGGATATTACCATCTCAAAAGAGGCAATAATATAAACCATCACGTTAGTATTCTTGAGTACTTAATTATAGAACGTTTGAGCTATGCTAGTGTCTTCTTTATTGTATCGTAAAGTATCTGTCAGTTCTCTGTCCTCTTAGTTCCATGCTCATGGTTCAAGGTTTTCCTTATAAATGACATTCAAATAGGAGAGGGCTGCGATCTCCTCTCTTCAGGGTTGAATAATTGATGTGTGGTCTTATTAAGCAGCGAGACGGATGGCAGCCACAGCCACAGCCTCCTCTCCTCTCCTCTCCTCTCCTCTCCTCTCCTCTCCTCTCCGGCCTACTGCTCCAAGTCAACCATGACGATAGTTACACAGCAGGGTCCTCACTGCACCATGAGGTAAAAACCCAAAGTCGGAGCAGTGTGTGTGTGTGTGAGAGAGAGAGCGAGTGTGTGTGTGTGTGAGAGAGAGAGTGAGTGAGTGTGTGTGTATGCCAGCGTCTATATCTTCTTCAATAGCTCATCTGTATGAGTGCTGTGATGTGGCAGGCAGGCTGGTGAGGGGTACGTGGCGTAGAGCTCAGATTGGAGGGGATGTCCTGGGGAAGAGGCCAGTCTCACTCTAGCAGAGCAATCACACACACACTGATCCTCAACCCTCTACGCCTCACTGGCACTTGTCTGTCCATCTCCAAAAACACAAACAAGAAAAGGCTAAAAACAAAGAAAACACAAGACAAAGAAACAAAAACAAACACGATGTGGGGACAAAAAAAAACTCCAATGGGAGGAATAGAGAGAGAGAGAAGAGAGAGCGAAGAGAGAGTAGCGAGAGAGCGAGAGAGAGCGAGAAGCGAGAGAGAGGAAGAGAGAGAGAGAGAGAGAGAGAAGAGCGAGAGGAGAGAGAGCAGACGCGGAGCGAGCGAGACATAGGAAAGCGCAGGAGAGATAGGGTCCGAGAGTCGAGCGACTTCGACATAGAGAGAGAGCTCTAGCGAGAGTCTCGCGCTCTCTCTCGAGCTAGAGATAGCGCGATCTCGCGCGCGCTACTGTGCTCTTCTCTCCCTTCTCCTTCTCTCTTCTAGGCCCTTTCACACATCTGCATCCATATCCTATTTCTTTCTTTTTCTTTCTTGCGTGCGGTGTTTCTTTCTTTATTTCTGTTTCTCTTGTCTTTTCGCTCTCTCTGCAGTTAGATCTGTAAAGGCCCATTACCCCTCCCCCTGAACGAGCCCTGCAGGCAGAGAGAGCTGGGCTGCTAGGATACAGGCTAAAAGTGTGGGAGTGAGGCAGAGAGACCACCAGAGGTTGAGGTTCTACTGTGGTAAATATGCATTAGCCCACTGTCCAGCTCTATTTATGGACCAACTGTATAGCTTATTCTCTCTCCCTTTTTATTTATTTTTATTTTTCTCTCTTTCCTTTATCACTCTGTCTTTCTGTCAGTGCTTCAAAGAATCCTCCGTCTAAAGTATTGTCATTTCCAGACAATTCTGTTTGAGGGCTACGTGGCTGGCTATCTTTCCTAGACTTGCTTTCATGTAATGGAAGAGCCAAAAAACGTTTAGAATTTTTGAAGTGGTGTTGCTGCATTCATACCTACTTAGGATTCTTCCTCTTTGAAGGGCTCCAGCTGAGCGCAGATGTTCTGTCATAAGCTTCTGCACTGATACATTTCAACCACTTCCTCCTTTCCCCAGGGATGTGATTTAATGACAGAGGTGTTATGTGATAAAACGTTACCTTTCTCACACGTGGCTCCACCGTAGCTAGGCAGACACAGGCACACGAAGGAGTTGATCTCATCGATACAGGTGCCTCCGTTCTGACACGGGTTGGACTGGCAGTCGTCAATGTCTGTCAGGGGAAAAGGAGACACAAGGGACGTGCTCATTAGGCACCAATCTAAAGAAAACAGACTGAAACAGGGAGGGACCACCTAGACTTGTATAATGAGAAACATTCATTTTCGTTTTCTGTTACAAAACGTTTTAAAGCGTTGCATGTCCTAATTAATACGACCAAGGAGACACCAGGAGACAAGGATACACAAGGAGACAGGATCAGTTACAACACCAGTCACTGGACATGGCACAAATCGCCTGTCACTATCACTTACCAAACCGACCAGGGAACCAACAGAGATCTAACTTTTCTGAGAGATCTGAGCTGTTTAGAGGAGTTGTAATTAAAAGCATTGATTCAGCAGTCCATCAATAAGTGGGTGGAGAAGCAGTGGAGCGCTTGATGCTAATTGTGATGCGTATGCAGGATGTGCTTTATACTCTGCTGTCAAAACTGGACAGGTATTACGCTCCACTGGCAGGGAGAGGATCCAGGGAGGAGGCAGTTTGATTTGTTTGATATTTAGATATTTACACCCACACAATCATGCTAGAATGAATATGTATAGATTTCTACTGACACATACAGTGAGGGAAAAAAGTATTTGATCCCCTGCTGATTTTGTACGTTTGCCCACTGACAAAGACATGATCAGTCTATAATTTTAATGGTAGGTTTTTTTGAACAGTGAGAGACAGAATAACAACAAAAAAATCCAGAAGAACGCATGTCAAAAATGTTATAAATTGATTTGCATTTTAATGAGGGAAATACGTATTTGACCCCTCTGCAAAACATGACTTAGTACTTGGTGGCAAAACCCTTGTTGGCAATCACGGAGGTCATACGTTTCTTGTAGATGGCCACCAGGTTTGCACACATCTCAGGAGGGATTTTGTCCCACTCCTCTTTGCAGATCTTCTCCAAGTCATTAAGGTTTCGAGGCTAATTTTTGGCAACTCGAACCTTCAGCTCCCTCCACAGATTTTCTATGGGATTAAGGTCTGGAGACTGGCTAGGCCACTCCAGGACCTTAATGTGCCTCTTCTTGAGCCACTCCTTTGTTGCCTTGGCCGTGTGTTTTGGGCCATTGTCATGCCTGAATACCCATCCACAACCCTTTTTCAATGCCTTGGCTGAGGGAAGGAGGTTCTCACCCAAGATTTGACGGTACATGGCCCCGTCCATCATCCCTTTGATGCGGTGAAGTTGTCCTGTTCCCTTAGCAGAAATACACCCCCAAAGCATAATGTCTCCACCTCCATGTTTGACGGTGGGGATGGTGTTCTTGGGGTCATAGGCAGCATTCTTCCTCCTCCAAACACGGCGAGTTGAGTTGATGCCAAAGAGCTCAATTTTGGTCTCATCTGACCACAACACTTTCACCCAGTTCTCCTCTGAATCATTCAGATGTTCATTGGCAAACTTCAGACGGGCCTGTATATGTGCTTTCTTGAGCAGGGGGACCTTGCGGGCGCTGCAGGATTTCAGTCCTTCACGGCGTAGTGTGTTACCAATTGATTTCTTGGTGACTATGGTCCCAGCTGCCTTGAGATCATTGACAAGATCCTCCCGTGTAGTTCTGGGCTGATTCCTCACTGTTCTCATGATCATTGCAACTCCACGAGGTGAGATCTTGCATGGAGCCCCAGGCCGAGGGAGATTGACAGTTCTTTTGTGTTTCTTCCATTTGCGAATAATCGCACCAAGCTGCTTGGCGATGGTCTTGTAGCCCATTCCAGCCTTGTGTAGGTCTACAATCTTGTCCCTGACATCCTTGGAGAGCTCTTTGGTCTTGGCCATGGTGGAGAGTTTAGAATCTGACTGATTGATTGCTTCTGTGGACAGGTGTCTTTTATACAGGTAACAAGCTGAGATTAGGAGCACTCCCTTTAAGAGTGTGCTCCTAATCTCAGCTCGTTACCTGTATAAAAGACACCTGGGAGCCAGAAATCTTTCTGATTGAGAGGGGGTCAAATACTTATTTCCCTCATTAAAATGCAAATCAATTTATAACTTTTTTGACATGCGTTTTTCTGGATTATTTTGTTGTTATTCTGTCTCTCACTGTTCAAATAAACCTACCATTAAAATTATAGACTGATCATATCTTTGTCAGTGGGCAAACGTACAAAATCAGCAGGGGATCAAATACTTTTTTCCCTCACTGTACATACTATATTTATGCAAAATTGCTGCAGGTACCTATGATACAGGTAAACAAACTCATAAAGTTTACCAGGAAAGCATGCGCTCTTACGCACGTACGCGCACACACACGCACACTTTGCGGAGGCGTTTTGAGGTCATGGCTCTCCTCTCTATGTAGAGTCGGAATTATATTTCTCTCACTTCTGATCTGAGGCCTGGGGGTAAAATCATTAAAACCACAGCTGGTATCCCAGCATCCTTTGCCCTCAGAACATCTGAGTGTATCTTGGGGGCCCGGGCGAGGGGGAAGGAAAAGGGTATCGGGTAAAACAGCAATCACGCTTTTTATAGTTCTCTGAGTCTTGAAGAGTCTGTAAGAGTGTGGAAGATGGTGAGTCCCTCTGTTGGATTACAGGGATTTGATAGTGAAGCGAAGCATGTTGGATAAAAGCAGCTTGTGGTGGAGAGAAGAGGAGAGGCAGGAATCCACACTGGGACGGCCTGCCATGTCTAGACGATGAATCAACAGATCAGGAGGGAGGGATTCCTACAGTGCACATTCTGTCCAGAGAAGTATGGCGGCTCTTACTGGTACTGTACTGTATATATACAGTCACCTCCAAAATTGATTGTCACCCTTGATGTGGACACCTGCTCGTCGAACATCTCATTCCAAATCATGGGCCATTAATATGGAGTTGGTCCCCCCTTTGCTGCTATAACAGCCTCCACTCTTCTGGGAAGGCTTTCCACTAGATGTTGGAACATTGCTGCGGGGACTTGCTTCCATTTCAGCCACAAGAGCATTAGTGGAGGTTGGGCAATGATGTTGGGTGATTAGGCCTAGCTCACAGTCGGTGTTCCAATTCATACAAAAGGTGTTCAATTGGGTTGAGGTCAGGGCTCTGTGCAGGCCAGTAAAGTTCTTCCACAGCGTTCTTG